CCCTATAGGGAGGAAGGTCAAGGTGTGGTTTGTTCTGTGGACTACAGTGGTAACCGAGGCAGGACTCTCCTGTCTTGGAAGAGCTGGCTCAAAGGAGGACACCCATGTTGGATGAAATCTATTAAATTGATCCATTAGCCAATTTCTGTGACATCTTATGAGAGACATAATTATGAGTGAGGCCTGGAAATAAAAAGGTAATCACCAACTTAGGGAGTTTTTCTTTCATTCATTTTTTTAGGGGAAAAACTGAACACAGAAAACTCTCATTTGAATGTTGCTCTGTTGTACTTTGACTAAAAGTATATTATTTAAAAAAAATAATAATTTAAAGGCTGTTCTATGTTGAAGCCTAATAATAAAAACAAGGGCTCACTACTTATAGTAAGAAATGGGTTCAGATTTTGAAACCTGGTATATCTTATGCTCCTGGAATAGCAATAATGTCTTTTTCAGTAACATGGCTATCTTATTTGTATGTCAAGAAGTACTCAGTTTTTCAAACTTTTATTATATATTACTCTTCTTTTTATATGCTCATATTAAAGGAGAGGTCTACATTGTTGCCACACTTAAATACCTCATGATTAGTGTTCTGCATTCTCAGTTTTTATTGTTTTTGTTTTTTCCACTGATAAGTTCCCTGATTTGTTTTTTGAAGTCATTCAGTTCTTACTGATTGACACTCTCACTCATTTTTCAATTCAAATCCATGTTAACCGGCACAAGTGGGGAATGGGCCATTCCACACACATGCCGGTAAACAGGGATTTGAACTGAAATGGGTGGTGCTGGTAAGCTAAAAATGCCGCTGTGCCAGTTACCTGAGGCACAAGTATCTGGCCGGACGTGGGAGAAGCGGTGGCGGTGGCTGTATACAGAGCGGGGAGGGGGATGGTGGCAGTGGCTATGTGGGGGCTGAGGGTGGGTAGCTGGAGCCACTACCTGGTGGTGTGGGGCTCCCAGCTCTGACCCTGGGTGGGGCTGGAGGTGCTGGGGTCAGGCTCATGTGTTTTCCCCCTCTCCACATCTGGCCACACGCCACTCCCCCCTCCCTCCAAACACCAGGGCAGCCCAGCAGCAGGCCGCTGCTGCATGGAGAAGGGGTGTGAATGCAGCCAGGGAAGAAAGGCATGGTGCGGAATCATGTGCTTTCTGCCGCTGATCCAGGGGCACACACCCCCTTAGAAGAGTCCAGCACAGGCCCCCCAGCCCACAGCCCTCCTGGGGGGCATGTAGCAGCAAGAGCTGCCCCCCGCCCCCTCACTGACAGTTCTTCCCACTTTGTTCCCTGCTGCAGCACCGTGAGCAGCTGACAGGCTGCACCGCATTCTTCCCCCCACCCCTTCCCTAGTCCCAAACTTACTCTCTCCCTCTCTCACTGCCAATTTTCTCTCCATTTAAACTGATTTTTTCTCCCTTTTCTTCCTTTTATCCTGATTTCATCCTGGTTTTTATATTTTGAAGATAAATCCTGAAAAATTCCCTGATTATTTAAAACAAAGACAAAAACTGAGAATGAGGAACACTACTCATGATGCATACTTCTTAAAACCTTGATAAGCTTCTAACACTTTTCTCTGTGATTCTATTCTTTGATTTTTGGATTTTTACTTTTTAAAAGACTATATAACTATTCCAAAAGTATAATAAAAAGAAGTGGGAGGAGCATGTCACAGTATTACAGAAAGTGTTTTATCTGGATAAGTTTTTAAAAAAAGAGACAGTTCAGATGCATTAAATCTTGCCTGCCAGATTCTGGTTATAAATTTCATGTGGCAACTGCACCTGCAGTGTAGGTTGCTCTGTGTAGCCCTTTTGACTTCATGGGACTCCACACACAAACATCCACCTAAACCCGCTTCACTGCATGATCAAAACAATTTGCTCATGACTCATGCTGGTGGACAGTTACACCTATGCATAGTACTAGTGAAATCAAGTGCTGCAAAGGTTTGCTTATGCAGTTCTGATCAAGGGGTTTTTTTTGGTTTGTTGTTGTTTTTTTGTTTTTTGTTTTTTGTGGGGGTTTTTGCCATAATGTTAAAAAAAAATGGCATCAGCTTAATTTTGTTTAAATCTTAGGTTTTCCCTGCAGTGTTACCAACCTAAGGAGGCAGCTCTGTTAAATATCAGGAACAGAAATAAAGGAACAGTAGCTACCAACTGGTAAGTTTCACTTTCATTTATCTTCAGCTTTCAAACTGGGAAATGCAAATAGTAGAAAGAATTCATACAGAGCCTGTTGATACAGTCCTGAACTACTTGCCAGCATTCTGTGTCATGTAGGCACTGTGAAATTAGGAGATTTTAAAAATAAAAAGCACTGGATATAAAACTATTAACATAACATGACTAAAATAATTTAAAAAACCTGTTCTAATATACCTATGAAAGCAACTTGTTTTTTCACTTTTGTGAACTTTGACAAAGAATGTGAATAAGACTATCTCACTTTTTTTAGTAATTTCTAGTCATACAGTCTATCGTAGTGCAATATCTGAGTTGCAAACAGTACTGAGGAATATTCATTTTTTTCCTGTTTTTTTTTTTTTAAGCTTTCATCCCAATATGTGTTTGTTGCATGAAAAAACTTCTTAGTCTTGGATCATTATAAATAGCTATTTTAGAATCTACAAGTTGGTCCCAGATTATACATTGATCCTTTAAATAATTTTAAAAATCCTTACCATTAACTATTCTTCCTTTCCCAAAACACCAACATTTAATGTAATCCCAATGCATGAATTTGACTACTCTCAGGCTAATTTGTGACCTGTAATTTTCAAAACTAAACACAAAACAGATGATATGATTTTTTCTTCCAAGGTGACTTTGATTTCTCAGAGTTCAAATATCCTGTCGGGGGCGGGCATAAAAGATGAGCTTTGGGTTATGCTCTAAAGCATGCCAGCGCCTAATTCTTGCTGTGAGTTCCAAGTTCAGACAAAGTGGGAGGGCTAGATGATGGCCTGGCAAACAATCTCTGCCTCTACATCTAGCTAACGTAAATTGGATGTAGAAGTGAATGTTGTCTGCTACTAAACTTCTCCAGGATACACATGTATTCAGAAGTGCGGATCTTGTTCTGTAATCTGATCCCTAGCTCCTAATAGTGACAATGGTATTCTGTCTAATATGCTTTCATAGATAAGCACCTAATGCATTTAAACCTTTTAAAACCAGTAATAGGTACACTGTAGTGATCTCCAGCAAATTCTGTACACTGGATAACTAGCTATGGAGGAAGAATTAACTTTTTAATTCAGGATTCTACTACAGAGGTTGCTGTAAAACAAGTAGGACTAAGGAATGTATTAAAAATGTTGGATTATGGATCTCCTGGTAGGGTAAAATGAAGCCAATAAAGAGCGGAGAAAATGGGTAATAAAAGTAGCATCTTTAATAATGATTTTAAAAGATCTACTGGAATGATTGTAATTAATGGTGGACTAGAATAGTACAAACATTAAGGAGGCTTTCAAGAGACATGAACAGAAATCTACATGAGACACTGTATGTCCTAATTGAACTTCTGTTCTTATGGCTTCCATAAATTCAGGATAAAAAAGAACAGAAGTACAACTAAGATACTAGCACACAACATGAAGTCACATGAACAGTTCTGTGACTTAATGAACAGAACCCCACCAATACATGAACCTAAACTTGATCCAAAAAATGAACTCAGGATGAAACAGGCCAATGATATTAAAGGGCGTGATATATGCAGTCAAAAGGTTATAAAAGGATTAAATGCTTTGTGTTTACAACATTTCATTTCTACTAAAGAATGGAAGTGTAGATTTTAGTTGCTTGGCATAGAGCAGGAGTGAGCAACATGGCCTGCTGGCTGGATCCAGGCTGCAGAGCCACTGGATCAGAAGGCTTTGCTGCTACCTGCTAGGCCAGGGCAGTTTCCAGCTGCACTTGAGTTGTAGTTGGAGGTAGGATGGGGGAGAGGCAGTTTCTAGCTGCACTCAAGCTGCAGGGCGGGGGTGGAGAAGGTGGAGGGAAGAAATGGGTAGTGGCAGCAGTGTGGACACAGTTTCCAGCTGTGCCCGATGCGGCTTCCCAGTGGTAGGAAGCTGTGCCTGCGCTGCAGCCAGGGAGCAGGGGACTTGGGAAAACTATGCATGGCATGGGTATAGTTCTCAGCTGCCCAGTCTTGATGCAGAGCCCAGTGGCTTGGTCATGGCACGGGTGAAGGCAAACCCTATCTGCTGCTAACATGCCACTGAAGCTGCCTGGTTCGCACCAGACTTGGAGCATGGTTGTTCTGGCCCACCGCTTGGAAAGGTTGCCAGCCCCTGGTTTAGAGTCATCCCAAAGTTTGGGAAACTGTTTCAGAAGATTGGAAAAAAGGATCGCAATGTCATTGTTTCATTTTTCAAAAAAGTAGCATGATCAGCTTGATCAAAAATCCCAGGAAAGAGCTTACAATACTTCTGGCAAATCATCTGCAATACTGCCTTGACTCCACAGTAGAAACAACCAGTATAGACTCCACACAGGCCAATCCATGATCCATGCTTTCTGTGCTTTGTAGATTGTTTACTGAAAAATGACTACAATGACAAGAGGAAGATAAACACTGTAACTGTAGATGTTGTGACTGCTTTTAAATTAGTGGCTTCATCAGTAGTGTAGTTATAGCTACACCCGTTTGCAGTGCCTAAAGACTTAGTGTGCCTAGTAGAGGTATTTAACCATAATATGGGTGGCTTTATAAGAGTTAATGATTACATGACACATTCTTTCTCAGAAGAATCCAGAGTAGTCCAGAGAGGTTTCCAGCAACCACCAATGTTCCAACTGACTGAGACTAAAAAAGGAAGCATAACATTTAAGAAATTATCTTTAGAGGGTCTTGAATATGGGGACGATGTTGCTAGGCTTGGTAAACCTTCCAGCAACTGATGCTGGGGGAAGTAGCAAAGGCTGAAGAACCAGAGGGTCTTAAGACGAACAGTAATAAAACCGAAGCTGTGCATGTCTCCTACAAAATCAGAAGCAACTGATCTCCCAGTGCTGCACGTGGAGAGGAATGACATTGAAGGGTTTACTATCCAAGTGCGTAACTGGCCGCCAACAGATGGTTCTGTCATGGAAGAGTCACACTTTGCACTGGGCCTCTTTCCCAGAGGCATTTGGCCTCTGTGTGGGTGGCAGCGTGACAGAGAAGCAGGTGGATTTAAGAAGATCCCCTTAGCCCGCAGCCTCATGCCAATGGAGAGCAAGCTCCAGGTGGCGGCAGAGTCACCATCAGTTTGCAGAGCACACACCATAGATCACAGTCAGCCAGCCCATGAAAAAATTTGGCTAGACTCCTTCATCTGGAGAGATTTAGGCAGCTGAGGCAGCCCAGGCACTCAGGGCCTCAGCTTCCTATTAGGTGAGGGACCGGCCCTTCCAGCTCCACGCTCTGCAGTAGCCAGGCAGATGCCCTGTGGCTGGGGCTGGAGTGGGGCAGCCAAGAAATTTTGTTTTTTTTTAAATGAAATTTTTCATGTTCCAAGCCAAGCAGCCAAATCAAGTTCAAATCCATGAGTCAATCCAGAACCATAAGTGGCCCTACAACCAGCAAACATCCTCCACCCCCACTAGGGGCTCCAGATATTTCCAACATCTTTTGGCAGGTGTCCTACGTGCAAGCCCAGGCCTGGAGCCATTTCCATAAAATGAGCATTAAGCCCCAACACCTCAGTAGGAACTAAACCACACCAGAAAAAGTTATCCCCATGAGGCTTAAGGAAAACTGCCTTCTTGGACCCAGATACATGGTGTTTCCCCTGCTGACTAAGGGTGGTGGGGGGAGTTCACCAGGCAGGGACCCAGCAGCTGGGGGGCCACCCAGCTGTGGTGGGATCCCATCCCCAGGCAGACAGCTCAGTTGCCAGCATCTCCATGCTCCCCAAGGCATGCCCTGCAGCATTGCCAGGTCTTAAATATGAAATGATCATATTGGAAGCTCAAAATGATCATGTTTCCTCAAAAAACCTATTGTCCACTGAAAAAAAAATCTGCAAATAAGCTTGCAAAGAAGTCTTCTGATTTCCTTTGCCTTGCTCACTGTAAGCCGGCAGTGAGCGAGTGAGGACCGGGTCATCCAAGTCGAAGCACTGTTTTATCTTAAGACAAGTCCGAAAGCGGGTTCGGACCCCTCCAGAGTGGGTTTTTGCACGTGCTGCGTCAATGAGCTGCTTCAAGCATGCTCCTACGTTTTCTTATTCTGTCTCCTACACGGTAGGAGGATCGCAATGACGACACGAAACTGATAATGACCATGTCCCCCGCCGGCAGGCGCGCCCGGCCTGAGGGGCGGAGCTCACGCAGCCAACACCCCCTGGCAGGGCCCCACCCCCCACAGAGCCCCGCCCACATGGGGGTAACGTAGCAGGGGGCGTGGCGGTACCTACCGCGCGCTGGGACCCCGAGTGCCAGCAGCGCGAGCAGCGCCAGGGGCAGAGCCTTCA